ATATCTAGCGGTTCAGAATAATTGATAAATTTCTAATTAATTATTAACTAATAAACTATTTTATATTTATTAAACGAATTTATAGTTATTGATAATTGCAATTAAACCCCTAACATTAACCCTTTCTCTTCGCCGTTTCTTTTCCCCGCTTCCACCGTCAATACTATCCCACTGGCAGGCGACGAATAGTTTGCAGTGCCTGGCATAGTCGTCCTCCGCCACTAAACCGTCTCAGGCGATTCCGGCATGCTCAACATGGAATCAGAGAGAATAACTTTTCGTTCTTGATTTGTTCCATGAAATCGTCACTTTCTCTTCCATTGTTCGATTGTTGTCGATCCTTTCCTCTTCTTGCCTCGCCACTTTCTTTTTCGATTCCGCTGCTTTCTTGGTCGATTCGTTCGAGTTCTCAACGAATTCGCCTTTGTTTTCCTTCGATTCGATCGTTTCCTTGACGAATTCGTGTTTCCTTCTCCAATTTATTCAATCGGCGCTTCAGCACTCAGTTGTGGTGCGATGGCTCATCTTTTCTTCGAGCTCCGCTTCTATCGTCTCTGCTCCCGTCGATGCGAACCAGGAGTATTTCTTCGCCAATAGCCGTCACTTGCATCATCTTCGTCCTTCAGATAACATCTCCGTCAGGTCCAGCTCCTCGCGTCGCTCGGTGATTCTTCTCGGTTATATCAAGCTCATCCAGTCGATCCAGTCTAGGTCTTCAATTGCTCCGGCCGAAAAGTTGTTGAGTTGCTGTGCCTCTGGGTTTCGCAAACACAGGTCCTATCACCGCGCGACGATTGATTGCATAGGTCCTCCTCGAAAGATGCTCTGTTGCTGGCTGGTGGCCGATTGTTTGATTGAAGGGGCAGGTTGGAGAAACGTTGGATTGGATTTAGGGATGGCAATCAAACCCATGGCCGCGGGTATCCGACCGCCCCCGACCCAGTCAACGCGGGTAATCCCTGCTTTGACTGGGTATGGGGCGGGTATGGGTAAAACCCGCAAAAAGTTTGATGGGTATGGGGCGGGTATGGTTTTAGACTCCCCCGCCCCATACCCATACTCATATCCGCCCCACCAAGAGCAGTGTTGTTAAAGCCGGACCGGGCAATGCTCCAGATTAGTGAGAGGTTTAAGATTTATCGGATAACCAGTAATTAACAGATATAAAACCGATCATAAAACCGGTGGCATTGAAGTTTCCAAAATAAAATAAAAATGACTTCATGATACATATGAAAATTAATACTAGTATTTAAATTGAGAAATGAGAATTATATATTTTATACACATCAATTGAAAAATTCAATATTAAAATATAATTATATCACTCATAAATGAATAAGACTACTGTATAATCATTGGACAAATTGATTGGGAAGATAGAGTTTATACCTTTTTTGTAGTTTTTTGACCGGTTGTGTCTTAAATTGGAAAATTGAATGGAGGAATTGAAAATAAGAAGAAGAGGGAAGGAATTAATGAGAAGAAAAGAGAACGTAGTTAGGGAAAGAAAGAAAAGAGAAGTTAAAAATGGAAAATGAAAAGTAGTGAGTGCCAGGTTGCAGGAGAAAACAAAAAAGTGGAAAATTTGTAAAAAGGAGGAAACCTATATTTTCTTTCCCTTTTTAATGTCTCGATTTTGAAAAAATAATAAATTTCCAATAAATATTAAATAGAAAGAATAAGAAACGGAAGGTCATTCAAAGGGAATAATGGAGGGTCAGCAACCGCCAGTACGGTTCATCCGGGTTCACCGGTTAGTTGGTTGAACCGGTCGACACCTGGCCGACAATTTCCGTTGCGTTTTTAGCCAATCAAAACCGGAAAGCTGGGCGGATCCGGGTTTTCGCGGTCGGACCGTTCGGTCCGGCCCGGTTTTAATAACAGTGACCAAGAGAATTTCTTCACATATACAAAAATATGTGGATCAAATTGTAATCTATCAATGGTGATGAGGATAACTCAAGGAAATAAATAGTAGAGATACAATTGAGTGACCACTTTAATCAAAACCTAATTCATTTCCCTCAATTCTCCTTCACTCTTTCACTTTCCCCCTTGTCAACAAGATTATGTTAGTTAATTATTACTTAATAGATGTATAAGAGTTAGAACATAATAATTTGAAAAATATTATACTCTATATTATGTATTAATGAATATTTTAGGATCATATTCTTTGAATCGTATTAAGAAAATGATCGTGTTTTGTTTAATTCGTGATATAATAGGTACGTTTAGAGTTGTAGTTAAAACTTTTCTTGTGAATTTTTGGATAACAGTGTTGGATGTACGGGTACGGGTATTACCCATGGGTACCCGATACTCACGGGTATGGGGATGGGTTTGCCGAACATTCCCCGCATGGATATGGGGCGGATATGGGTTTGGCTATTTGAAGATGGGGATGGGGATGGTTTAGACAAACCCGCCCCAAGCCCGCCCCATTGCCATCCCTAATTGGATTGAAGGGGAGTCAGGGTCGGAGATGGATCTTCCTTTCACGATCACAACTCTTCCCCAACCACCCTCTCCAGCTCGCCCGTCTCTGGACCTCTTTCTCTGGCTAATCCTTCTGGCAACTTCCCCGTCGGATTCGACCGAGTCTTTGTCGCCGTTCCTCCTTGCATGCCGCCAATTCCATGTTTCCCGACGAATTGATGAAGCAAGCATCGGAGTTGAGATTGGAATTGGAGAATCAGAAGGAGAATTAGAGGATAAGAAGGAGATATCGAGAAGAAGAAAGAGAACACGAACAGGGAGCAGAGGAAGGAGGAAGAACAAGTACAGTGGAAGGAAGGAGTAATTTGTTTTCTGTTCTCTCTTTTGTTGTGAGGGATTAAATTAAATGGTCTCTGTTGTGGGAGATAAACAAGAGGCTTCGCATAAGAGGAGAGAAGAATCGGGGAAGAAACGGTTAAAGTCAGGGGCCTAGTTGCAATTGTCATTAAGTATACATTGTTTTAATAAATATAATATAGTTGATTAGTTATTAATTAAATATAAATAAATCAAATTATTGTAACCGTTAGATGTGTTCAACGGTTGAGATTAAACAAAAAAGTGGGTGCGTTCAGTGCACCCAAAAAAGTGGGTGCACCGAAGTGGCCACCATATATATATATATATATATATATATATATATATATATATATATATATATATATATATATATATATATATATACATACATATATGGGTCAGACTGGTGTACGTCAGGCGTATACTATACGTCAGGTACTACTAGTGAGATATCTCTATCTAGACCATGAATTAAATCGAGTTTGGGGTATGATACTATACCCTAACCTCTAATGGATAAACCCCAGGCACCGATTTTCTAAACCCCAACCCGAAGTATGATTTAATGAAAAACAAAAATTGACCGTTGAGATCGGTCGGAGCTCATCTAACTACATATAACGGCTAGATCACCTGGCGTATATTATACGCCTGGCGTACACCAGTCATCACCATATATATATATGGCGAGTTCTACGGTACCCCGGGTAAAATCCGGGGTACCGCATATCTTGAGTAAAAAAACGCTATCTAGAACTTGAATTAACTGATCTTTCGGACATGATACTATACTCTAATCCATAAAGATCAAAATATAGGTCTTAATTCACTTAATCTTATACCCCAAGATCAATTTAGTTAGAAATAATAATCGACGGTTATGATTCGTCCAAATATAGGCAAAAAAATCAATGCACCATCTTAGAGTTTATAGTTTATGATTTAGATAATTAGGACCTAGGGTTCACTCATTAAGGGTTAGGGTATAGTATCATGCCCAAAAACCCTGCTAATTCGAGGTCTAGATAGCGTTTTCATACTCAAGGTATGCGGTACCCCGGATTTCACCCGGGGTACCGTAGAAGGCACCATATATGGGGATATATGTATATATATATATATATGGTGCCTTCTACGGTACCCCGGGTGAAATCCGGGGTACCGCATACCCTGAGTATGAAAACGCTATCTAGACCTCGAATTAGCAGGGTTTTTGGGCATGATACTATACCCTAACCCTTAATGAGTGAACCCTAGGCCCTAATTATCTAAATCATAAAATATAAACTCTAATATGATGTATTGATTTTTTTGTCTATATTTGGACGAATCATAACCGTCGATTATTGTTTCTAATTAAATTGATCTTGGGGTATACGATGTAGAGAATTATGACCTAGATTTTGATCTTTAAGGGTTAGAGTATAGTATTATGTCCGAAAGATCAGTCAATTCAAGTCCTGGATAGCATTTTCTTACTCAAGGTATGCGGTACCCAGGATTTCACCCTGGGTACCGTAGAACTCCCCATATATATATATATATAGGTTCAGGCTAGCGTGCGCCCGGGCGTACGTTAGGCTATCGTACGCCCGTTGAGTTTTACTATTTAGATCGTGAATTAACCGGAGTTTTTGGCATGATACTATACCCTAAGCTCTAATGGGTAAACCCCAGTCCCTAATTTTCTAACCCAAATCATGAGATTCGTTTAATCTTAAAAGGTAAATCAACAATAATTTCGATAAATCAGGACCGTTGATTTTCATTTTAAGATTAAATGAATAATATGCTATGGATTAGTGAATTGGAGACTCGGGTTCACCCATTATGGGTTAGGATATAGTATCATGTCCCAAACTTTGGTTAATTCATTGTCTAAATAGTAAAACTCAACGGGCGTACGGTAGACTAAGGTACGCCTGGGCGTATGCTAGCCTTTGCCATATATATATATATACGAAGTTTGGTTATGTTGCTTAATTATTTGCATTTTGATGCCCAAATTTATGATAGGACATACTAGGGATTAAACCACAATCATATCATTAAATATTCATTTTACTATTTTTTCGGTAACAATTCGTATTTCTTCAAGAAAATCTCTTAGTTGTTACAGAGCAACTAGAAATAACTCAATTCAGATGTAGCATACCTATTCAGAAGTTTTCGTAACTCAATCATGTATGATGGATTTCTCAAGGATTTGACATTTTCAAACTCTGTCTGTAACTCACTATAAGCTCGGGAAATAAATAAAAAATTTGTACGAACGAAATATCCATCAAATAACTGTTTTTGTTTTTAGGAAAACAAGAATGGGTTTAGATAAGGTGTTTGTAATAATTCTATTTCGTGCTCATGGTCATGGGTTGGAAGTAGGGTGGAAATCGGTACGGTATCGGTATATCAAACCAAATACCAAAATTCTGAATATTGAATTACACCCTAAAGTCAATCCCAATCTCAATCCATAAATAATTTCGGTATCCCAATCCCAATCGGTATTATCGAATACGAAATTAATTATCTTTGCAAGTGATAATTAAATATATAAATTAGATTTGATTGTTTAATTTAGGGCAAAGAGACTAAGCAAAGAGTCTTGAGTTTGCCTAGAGCTAGAATATGGGTAAGGAGAATGGAGGAGAGGTGACATCTCAAATTCTTGTCGTTAGTAATCCTTAATTTGATGAATTGGAGGTTGAGAGAAAACTAATACTAGTGTTGCTTTTTGGTGTTATGAAAATAACAAGAGATTAGGTGAGAAACGAGAGTGACTTAAACTGAAAAGTCAAAATTGAGTTGGATGGGGGCTTCTAAGTTGTGAAAGAGTGAGGAATGACTAAAAGTTGTGTGTTATATTTTATTAATTTTTAATTTTTGGTATTTCTCTGTATTTCGGTATATACCTATCCCAATCCCGTAATCCCGAATACCGAATAGCACTCTAAAATGAATTCCAATCCCAATCTCTAAAAAATAAACTGGTATTCGGTAATACCAAATAGTGATAAATTCGGTACGATATTCAGAATATCCCAAGTATCGATACCAAACTTCCCGCACTAATTGGAAGTGCTTTCCAAAAAAACAAGGACAATCATAAAGAAAAAAAAAGGAAGAGGGAAAGAAAGCACTTTGTTCCTCCACATGAGATGTCTGTTCCTTCCATACGGTTGGTTCAACGGACCAATTACTCTTATGTTTGACACTTCCTTTCATTCTCATTTTTCGGTCAAACCAATCCAATGAAAAGAAAGAATACGTATAGCCGTACAGCCAAAATAATTAGTATACGTATTTAACTAAATTCAGCTTGCTTTTGTGTTGCTAAGGATGATAATTTGACTTTCTCCGTACAATTTGATATTAAATGACAAGACATGGTTAGAGTTGAATGAAAGAGTTTTTGTAAGAATTCTGAAATTAAACATGCTTATTATGAAATAATGTAAGATTGTGTGACCTTAAAAGAAATTAGATTGCTATGCATCTCATTCAAGATAAATATCTAAACTCAAAATGAACAATATTTTATCAAAAATATATTCGGGATGTTAAATTTTTACTTGTTCATTGAGCATTTATTTTCGGTAATTACCCACTAATAAGTAATTAGTAAGCAGGAATAATGACACCAAATTGAAATCGCACTACCTTCTGTATTGTAAATGGAAATAATTGATCCTTCCTCCACTTTCGTCGGTCGTAAAACTTCGGACACGACATAATGGAATTTCATTTGTTTTATTTTATTTTTGTCAGTGTCGTACTCGATCAGGCATTATGTGGATGACGTGTCGCCTTCCTTCTGTTGTTTATTTGACTTATTATATGGAGCTGGCAAATCAAACTATTGAATATTGATATACTTAACGTAAACAAAACATGATTACTTTGAATATATCTACTTTGTCATAAGTTTTTTTGTTTGCATAAGCAGGAGACATGGGGAGAAGGAAGAGGGGGAACTGGGGAAGTGTTAGAGCGGTCAACAAGCCGCCTATCGAAGATTATTCTCATAGTATCATTTCGAAGTAGGGGTGGGCATTCGGTCGGTTCGGTTTCGAACGAACCGAAATTATGAATATCGGGTCCCCGAATTCACCCAAACTTCAAACCAAATTCGAACCGAATTATAATTCGGTTCGGTCGGTTTAAACCGAATTATAATTCGGTTCGGTTCAGTTTTCACACAAAATCGAATTTGTTAAACTACTTGTATCTTCTCACTTTTAAATTATTTTTACCCCTAATATAAACAATAAATATGTAATTATATGCATCATCAACGATAAAATCAAACTTTTCAACACATAAGTCATAAAATATTTCAAATATTTAAGTCTAAAAACAACTACAAACATAAAAATCCATCATTTAGAGCTTGTAATTATAGTATTTCGGTTTTTCGGTCGGAACTTCGGAAATTCGGTTCGGTTGAGAGAACCATGGTTTCCGAACTATCCATATTTTCCTTCCGAATTCTGAACCGAATAGCATTAATTTGGTTTCGGTTCGGTTTAATTTGGTTTCGTTTCGGTTCGGGTTTACCGAACCGGTTGCCCACCCCTACCTCGAAGAATAGAAGCTAGTTTTTGGGCGATTTTTCAAGCTCATGTATATCGTATGGATAGACGAGATTGTATTCCCTTTCCGATATACATGTGTAAATGTGTGATGTTTACCAACTCGTCTTAGCTTATGGGTCGTTTACTTGTCATTCCGTTTATTATAGCTACCACAACAGAAAACAAATTAAAATGAAAACGAAACTATGTTTCCTAAGAAACAAAACCTGAAAAAAAACTTGTTTAACTGAGAATTTTGGCGAGTTCTGAAAATGAAAATATGTTTAGTTACTTCATTATGTTTTTCCGTGCTAAATTATCAGAATTTTTTCACGGAATATCATACAACTCAAACCATGATAATAATATTTAATATATCATTAATAATTTGTATGGCTTGAGACCCAAAAACGAAAGAAAGTTATTTTTGGCCAGGCCCATAGTGGATATAGTCCATCGTGGGTGGCTACGATCAGGTGACTAGGGGGTCCTCTTAGTCATGTGACCAAGTGAATCTCAGTCCTTCAAACTCATTAAAATTTTATGATTGTAATTAATCCACTTAAATGAAGGATAATTTAGTAACTTCTTAAATTTTTTAACTTTCAATTATTAAATAATTTAGTAATTTCATTAATAATTTTTTATTTAATAATCATGTCCGTTTCCACGCGAGGAGCTTTCCCTCGCCTCGTCCCTCCCGCCGCTGGCCAAAACTTTCCGGCGCTTTCCTTGGGAGAAGTTGCTTTCTGGGGGGGGGGGGAGATTTTTCCGGCGACCAGAGGAGACTTTCTGGCGACTAGCAACGACGGAGAAGGATTTTTCGGCGACAGTGCTTGATTTGTGATGTTTGTTGATCTATTTTGTAATGTCTGTATCGATTCGGTTTGTATTGTTTATCATTTTTAGTGACATTTTGTCCGGTTAGTATGCTTTGTACTATTTGTCGGTTTACTTTGTAATGTTTGTAAGCTTTGTTATTTTGTAATGTTTGTCTGTTTTTTTTTTTTGCAATGTTTGTAAGCATTGTTATTTTTTGTGCACCATGTTTATCATTTTTGTCAACCATGTTTGTAATGTTTTTATGTCTAAAAAACAACATGTTTGACTTTTGGATGGAACGTCTCTATATAGGGATGAAGCCTCCAAAGTCAACCCGGGTGTTTTTCCAGTTTGTATGAATTGTTGGTCTAGTTTGTCATTTTTGTCCACCACGTTTGTAATGTTTGTATGTCTAAAAAACAATCGGGTTGACTTTGGGATGGAGCCCTTCTATATAGGGATGAAGCCTCCAAAGTCAACCCAGTTGTTTTTTCTTTTTTTTATGGTTTGTATTGTTTGTCGGTGTAGTTTGTATTGTTTGTACAGTTCAAATGTTTGTAATGTTTGTAAATCTGTTAGTATGTTTTGTCGTTATAGCTTGTACTGTTTGTAAGTTCGTTTTTATGCTTCAAAATTTTTCATAATACCCAAACTACCCCTATCATTAATTAAAAATATCTTCCCATTTTTTAACCATTGGATTGATGTGTCCAGATCTAAGTGCTGGGAGGGACTTAGTCAAGTGACTAAGCACCCCCTTAGTCACAGGATCCGCACCCCCATCGTGGGGCATCTCATCAGTTATCACCTCCCAATATTTCCCCTTTCCAAATCTCATCCACTCCACAGAAAATGTCAGATCGTTTTTCATCCTTTGCTACCTCATCGGCGAACCCCACTGGCTCAATCCGATGAACCAAAAAAATGAAAGAGCCACTGTCACCACCGCGGGATGAGAGGCTCCACTGCACCATAACCCACATCCTAACCAGCCCAACAACCTCGCCGCCGCTCTACTCCCAATTCTTCATCGCCCAGCAGTTCCCCCGCTACCTCAACTGGCACTACCCTCGAATCCTCTGCCACCGCCACGACGACACAGCCGGCCGCTGCTTCCCTTCGCTCCTCCAGCAGTGGGGATTCTCCCAGTTCCTGAAAAGGGGATCCTGATTCGATTGAACGACGCGTATTCCTGGCTCGGACCCTAATTTCGGCTCTCACTGGATGAGACATAGACGATCGGGGCGTTAGGAGAAGAGAGATTCATCAGAGGGAGAGGAAGATGATGGCGGCGCGGGGCTGGTGGTTGCGGGAGGCAGAGGAAGATGATGGGGCAAGTGGTGATCTGGGCAAAATGGACCATGTCTAGGATTAGCGAAGGAAAATGAAAAAAAATTATGCCCCGGGGGAATCGAACGCGGAAGCTCATTAAAGAGCAGTGAGCATTTTCCGCTAGGAAACGGGCAATAATCCATCTCGTTTTTTCAGAAAACATGTATTTATTGTTTCCCCACAGCTTTCTCATTTGTAACACTTAATTTTTTCTAAAGAAAACGAAATGACAAGTGAACCCATTTCTTGTCAATTGTTTTTTTATTTTCATTTTTTAAATAGAAAACAGAAAATAAAAGGGAAAGTGAACAGGTCACTAGCTTCATCCCAAGGTTGTCAACCCGCGGGTTGACCCAGACCCGGTCGAGCTAGTGGGTCAAGGGTTAATGGGCCAACCGTTTTAGCCCGGTTTGGCCCGGAAATATAGAAAGAGTCATTATATTGTACTTATCCTCATAAGTTATATCAAATCTTATCTAACACAGTGGCGGATCCAGGGGGAGGCCACCCCCGGCCCCGGCCCAGCCCTCCCCTGGATCCGGAACTAGTATAGCCCTTACGAGTTTATCGATTTAACTATTTGGGCCAGTGTTATTTTATAATAAAATTGTGTGTAATTAGGAAAATGGGTAAGATGAGCATATTCAAATCACAACTCTAAATTTAAACGTAAAAGAAAACTCATATAAAGAAATATAAAGAAAAGCAAACAATGAAAACTTAAATTCTAAAACGTAAAAGACAAAAAGAAATATGAGGTTTATTCTCTTAAGAAATTACTTGAGCAGCTGTTGAAAATAGGAATTGATTAGTCGATTGTGTTGACATTTGCGCAACAAAATGAACGATGAATTTCTCTCCAATTGGTTAACTATTTTATCTTAAAGAGAGTATGCTATTGATGTGGATGTAAACTATATTATTGATGAATTCACTATATTAAAATTTAAAAGATTGACGTGTACAATTGATATTGTAAAAAAAACTGTGATTTTTTTACGATATCTAATTTTTTAATGAAATGCGGCCCAGTGCTACGCTGTGTCCTGGATCCGCCGCTGATCTAACATATGAGTTATAACATATAATATTACACCAAAATAACATATCGTACTTAGATCCAACATATAGTGAAAATTCACACACACTTATATAACATAAATATTCAAATGTTCAACTTAGTATTCCAAAGATTGAGTTAGGCGAAAAGAAAAATTGGAAAATATGCACATTTCGCAAACTAAAGAAAAAAATGACGCAATTTGACCTCCAACCCGGTACCTTATAGCGGTCGGCCCGACAGGTGCATGCGGCCCGTTTTTCTTACCGGTCAGAGTCAAATTGGGTCGACCCGTGGGTCAACCCGCGGGTTGACAACCTTGCTTCATCCTAATCGCTGCGAGCAAGGTCGCATACGAACTTGCAGTCCAAGGCTTGCTTTACTCATCTACAACAAACTAGAGTGGACCCCGGCCAGTTGGCCGGAGGAAGGTAGGTATGAAATTTGATAATGTAATGGGGTGTATAGCTTATTGTTGTATAGTTTTTTTTTTTTGAGAAATACGTGATAAAAATAATGAATTTTAGCAGGAAAGAGCACGAATGATGCAACGAATCAAAAATCGGCCTTATGAACCAAAATCAAGTACATGTTACCTTGTGAAACAATATTGTTTCTGGTAATATGATGAGGTGGAGTAAGTTTTATAGAAACCGAATTCCAGAAAATCGAATAAAAAATCGCCTATCTCGTCGGTTTTCGGGAAATGAGGATCTCACAATCGTTGCTAGCTTTTACTCGGCCCGTTGGCCGATTAATTTGCTTTATAAAACTTTCATCTTGTCGTCATTGTGCTTTCTGGTTTTTTTCAGGCCATGATAAATCTAAGAAAATCAAGAACGAACAATACGATTTGGGATAGGAACCGCCGTTGTCGTATCCCTAGAAAATGGTGGTAAACACGGACTCACCTGCCAAACTGGTTTGGATTGAGATTTTTATCGAGTATCAGGGAACCATGTGATTATAAATTAGACTTGATCAAAACGGGCCAAAACTTGAAATTCAGCCTGTTTGACCCACCCATGCCAAATTCTAATTATTCTTTACTTTTAAACTTTCTATTTGAAAATAAAAAATAGTGAAACAAAAGAGATGACTGCAATTCGCATTTGCACATCACTTATTCGGAAATGAAACCATAGAAATTCAAAAGGAACTGAAAATGTTTAGGATCGTTTTAATGTTTAAAATAACCAGATAGATCTTTCTGTTTAGTTTTTTACTAACAAATACCAAACGATTCCCTGTAAAATACACTATATTTTAATCATTATGATATCTAATAATTATATAATATATATTTGAAATGATAAAAATTGGACTAATTGGGTTGGTCGAGGTTACCATTGAATAACTTTAAAATATATTATATTTTAGCCACTAAGATATAAAAGAATAGCATAATATATATTATGCCAGAGTTGTTTTAGAATGAAAAACCAATGATGTTCATTTATTTTTATTTTTATTTTTTATGGCCAAATACCATGTAGGTCAGGCCCATTCAACTCTTTTATTTTATGGTTAGCGGTTAGCCCATTAGATACCATGCATTAGTTTATTGTTAAATTTGTTTATTTTTAGCAATAAAAAGGAGTATTTTTTTTGCCTTTTCATATATATTTTATCACCATGGAGAAATAAAAGAGGTTAAAGAAAAAAATTGACACTCCTGGACCCGTTTAAATCAGCATGTGTACGATAAGTTGGCTCGTTCCACGGAGTAAAGAGAAAAAAAATTGACACTCCCTATTCTACCCTTCCTATAAAAGCTTTTAGAATAGCAAACCAATGATGTTAATTTATTTTACTTGATGGCCATATCCCGTGTAGGTCAGGCCCATTCAACTCTTTTATTTTATGGTTAGCGGTTAGCCCATTAGATACCATGCATTAGTTTTTGTTAAATTTTTTTAATTTTAGCAATAAAAGGAGTATTGTTTTTGCCTTTTCATATATATTTTATCACCACGGAGAAATAAAAGAGGTTAAAGAAAAAAATTGACACTTCTAGACCCGTTTAAATCAGCATATGTACGGTAAGTTGGCCCGTTCCACAGAGGAAAGAGAAAAAATTGACACTCCCTATTCTACCCTTCCTACAAACGCTTTTAGAATAGCAAACCAATGATGTTAATCTGTTTTACTTGATGGCCAAATCCCGTGTAGGTCAGGCCCATTCAACTATTTTATTTTATGGTTAGCGGTTAGCCCATTAGATACCATGCATTAGTTTTTGTTAAATTTTTTTATTTTTAGCAATAAAAATGAGTATTGTTTTTGCCTTTTCATATATATTTTATCACCACGGAGAAATGAAAGAGCTTAAAGAAAAAAAAATTGACACTCTTGGACCAGTTTAAATCCGCATGTATACGGTAAGTTGGCCCGTTCCACAGAGGAAAGAGAAAAAAATTAACACTACCTATTCTACCCTTCTTACAAACGCTCATGGAGCAGGGAATTTGAAATGGGGGAAAAGTTTTTTCCTCCCTGCTATTATATGCTTTTAATTTAAAAAGATATAACAAGTGTACTTAGTGTGATTGGTTATGATCCTTGTTTTCCTTTAAAATGGTCATGGTTCGAATCCCAGTATGTGTCTTTTTAATGAATAAAAAAAAGTAATTGTGAAGACCAAAATGTCCTTCCTACTTTCACTCTCGTTGCAGGAAATTTGAAATGGGGCTCCCGTTTTTCCCTTCGGTGTATTATAATATGTGTAGAAGAGATGTAGATAGATAGATGTAGAGATGTAGACTTGCAGATTCCAAGGTACTTATACTATACAGGCTAGCCGCCTACATGTCTACAATCTACATTCAAGAAGATTGGCAAGCAAGAAGGCCTTATAATATTCTGGGTTCAAACAACCACCTGGGCCCAGGTATTTCTATTCATTTTAGGCCTGATTTTCGCTGGCTCATTCAGAAAAGGCCTTAAATATTTTGGATCCATCTCAGCCCAATTGAATACAATCCCGCCCGCGTCACAACTATCGACAAATATTCAAATTCTCGGGAAGTTTGTTTGAAGCTAATTTAGCGCCACCGCCTTAATTTAATAGCAGAGAGAAGAGAAAGCTTATCGAAGCGGCGCCGGAAAGTTGAGCTAGCGCCCGACCATTCGCCTTCAGGTTGATCCTTTCGAAATCCAAGTTCGTTCCGCTTGAACCACGATTTTTGGATTTCTTTTCTTAACAACCTTGCCTTGGTACCGAGACGCAGTTCGCGAAAGAATCTGCTGGTGAGGCGGCGATGGCTGGGATCCAATCTGGAACGGCGGTGACTCTGGCCGAGTTGCGCCCCGAATCACCGCTCTTTAAGGAAGGAGCTTCGCTTAGAGTCACTGGAAAGTAAGTTACTTCCCGGCACCATTTGTTTGCTTGCTTCATTTTGGATTTGCGATGGTAGTTTGTGAAATCGAATTAGGGAAATGGTTTTCGCCTTGTTGCTAAGATTGACTAGGGAAGTGTAAGGATGGGAAGCTGTTTAGTGGCTGTGATTGTTTTTTCAGCTATTGATTATGCTCGATTACGATCCTCTTGGTTTAATTTGTTTTCATGGGACGTTGCAGATTAGGGTTTTTTTTCCTTCTTTCTTCTGGAGCTGATGCGGTTATGAAGTTAGAATGAGACTGTATTAGGAGATAGTTTCTTTGGCTGTATCATGTATGGGAGGTAAATTTATCCCGGCATTGGAACATTCTTGACCTTGGCTGAGTTTGCTTGTGTGCTAGAACTGGGATTCATTCATGGCTATTGCATCGCTGCAGATCGGATCTGACTTGATGTCAGATGAAATTAGGGTGTCTGGAGCATAAGGTCTTACCGGATTATCAAATCATAAGGGAAATCATGTTTAAGTGATTTGAATCCGTTCTGTCCTGCATAACATATTAGCTATAGTTGCACATGGTTTTGGATACTTATCTTAAGCGACTCCATTTCGGTGCGAGTTCAAATAGTTGGCCAATGCACATTGCATTGCGTCGTCTGCCATGCATGTATAAGAACACTGCCAATTCCTCTTTCATTTCAGATGATCTATGCTATGGAGTCTGAACAAAAGTAACTTTTTAGACCATTGGTCGAGGTTGTGTGATGTAATGGGTAGTACTCGTTATTCTCATTCAGGTGCTGATCGTTCTGAGGAAACCATAATAATCATGCACCTTTTACCTTGGAGTTGACTTTGGACATTATTTAAACAATAAGTTCTCACTAGATTTCCTGTGTTATGCTATTGGTGTGCTAATGATTAGGAGCAGTTCAATCAATACTCATAATTAAGTTCTGATTCTTCTCCAAATATCTATAGCTGTAAGGGCCTTGGTTGTTTATCATAACCAGGTAATGATTGAGTATCCTAAAAAAAAAGGTCCACCATTTCATCCTTCTTAGGATACAAGAATATAGCGTGGAGACAGCTATAGCTACAGTTGTGGATGGTGATTCCAAACTCAAGATTGACACCCAGCATCTTAGGGATCTGAGCTTTCGAACCGGCTCGATCTTCCAGTTCATTGGCGAACTCCTCATACATCCTGATAACGAGGTAAGGCTGGATGAAACAATCCTATTCGAAACGTCTTGATATAAGTCACCTGAGTTCATTTGGTATTGTCTCTGTTTTTATCAGGCAGTTCTGCAGGCAAGGGTTGGAAGGAATGTCGATGGAATTGACCTTAACCTCTACCATCAATCTCTGCAGTTACTGAGGCAGTTCCAAGCTGACCACATCAGGGCTTGAACATTCCGACTCAGAAACCCGAATCGAAAGTTCTCATAAAGGGTATCTGGCCAGAGAAAGGTACACCACCAAACGGCTTCTCAAAATGTGTATCGTTATCTGCTTATCTTTAACCTTTTGCCCTACCCGATTGTAGAGAAACCCCTTCACTTTTTTGCAATTTTCTAGCATAGACTTAGCGATGAATGTGGAAAACCCTTCTCAGTAGCGTCGCTCTCTTATCTCCAATGACATATCCTAGGCTTTACTTGTCGTCTAACCTATAACATGGTAATTGCTAACACTATTAGAACAAGAGAATCATCATGGGAAAGACTGAAGATCAAAAGATTAGCCTGTAGGTGCTCTTGTCTTAAATTGTAAAATTACACTAGTGTACAAGTTACGGGTTAAGAGGAATTCAAAGTTTTGGAATTTCGGTGGAGAAATGAGACGAATATTGCTGTTGTGTGAAATTGTTAAGTCTGAGAAGATATATTGGATAGGTATTTAATTTGCGCATTTTTCTAGTCACACCTATCAAATATTTGTTCAATATTGTTATTGTCTCTCACAACTCATACTTCCTCATTAGACATCAACGATGAGTCGATGACACAATAAATGAGTTGTTATGGGTGAATTTAAACGGATTTAATCGATCCTGCCACCTTTATGAATTTGTGGTCTCAATTTGAGTTGCGAGAAGGATAAGACACTGAAGTCCATTAACAAATTTTGTAGCGGCTTTCTTCTTGCGTAAAGGAAAGAAAAAAGGGAAATGGAAAATCATAAACAACATTATATATGACATGCACACTTCATCATCTAAGCGCTATGATTACCTCTTTGTGGTATATATATATTTTATGATGACCCACCAAATCAAAATGCAATAGTTTTCGAAAGATACCGTTGTCCTCATATAAACATAATTATCATTGCAATTTAGTGTATAAAGTTGGATTGTAATTAGTAGTAGTTACCCCTAAATATTCGTCTACTAAGGGGTCGTTTGGAAGTTGCGAATGTTAAATCGTTGCATTGTAATGAATTACCATAATCTAAATGCATGTATTGATACAATGGATGCATTTTAACAATACATTGTTTGGTTGTTGAGATTCTATTTTATGCATTGATTTACATAAAATTACTTTTATAGGGAAATGTCACATTTACCCTCAACTTTTAGAATAAGACAAAAACTATTGGAGATATAAATTGAAAGAAAAAGTTGACACAAATCTAAAACCAACAATCACAACAATCTCAACTTTTAGTTGAGATTGTATAATGCATCATTTTTTGTGATTGTTGGTGGGACCTACCTAAAACAATGCATGCATTGTTTAACATTTTGGCACTTTCAAACATTGTATTGTGCACAATACATGTATTCAACAAACACAACTCTAACAATCACAACTTCCAAACGAGCCCTAAGTGTTACAATCAATCATTCAATTTGTTGACCCCCCACAGCCACCCACACCTCAACCAATAGGATGGCTTTATAACATCACTAATGAAGGCCAAATAAAGCCGGCTATGATTACTTTACTTGAGTGAAGTTTTGTAGGCGAATTATTCCTCAATAAGAACTCTATCAAAGATAATTCAGGTAATTCAGGAAAAGTCAATAAGAAGGTATTTTGTACTGAAATTGTAGTTTAATTGTGTTTCAATCGTAACCTATCACTGAATTATCGGTTGATTTGGAATCGGCACCCGATATTTTCCGTCCGACCGACCGGTATAGTCATGTTTACAATTTTTATTTTCATTCAGAAAGTATTTTTGAATTTCAGAATCGACTTTTGTTGAGCTGCATGCTAAAAAAGTTGCTCGTGTAGGTATTCATTTCTCGATCACCGATGCCCGATCTAACTTAAGAATCTGAGGCATTTACATATATATTATTATTAAGGAACTTAAAATCAATCCTGAATGGTCACATTCTCATTCCTCTATTCTAGCCTATAAAGTTAACCGATCACTCTACTACTTAATTGAGTTGATTTGTAAGATATTGTAATTTGCCTACAACTTGTTGTTCCACACTCATTTCTAATAATAGTTCCATTTACGTAAAGAGAAAGTAAAACTTAAACGTTTATCCTTCCAAATCCCCTCAACTTGTGAAATCATCAACCCGAAATCCAACATGTTTAAAGGAAAGAAGCTGATAAGATACCATCAAGAAAAATGTTGTTTTCTCCCCTTCCCTCTACAATTTGCCGTGCCCTCTCTCTCTCTATAATTTGCCGTGCGATCATGATTGGGTTTATGAAGTTGAGATGACTTTTGTGGGAGGACTCTTGTGGCCCGACCCGACCCGACCCGACCCGATCCCCGTCCAAAGTCCTAACAAGAAGACAAACCAATGCCCACTCATTTACTCACTCACTAACAAACACAGTAACTTTGACGCATTCTCTCGCCGTCGCTGTCCCGGTGCACCGCCCCGCATGGTGTATTGTTGTTTGCCGCGTTGGCGTTGGCGTTGGCAGGAAACGTGTCTGGCTCCCCATTGGATTCCCACAGTTTAATTTGAGTACCGGTGGTCGCTAAAAGTCTCCCGCCGGTCCTCGAAAGGGCCCCGCTCCATTGGAAATCTATTATTCTCGTGCCTCGCCACCACCCACTTTCCATCATAAGCATGGGCGCACAGCTATGGGGTTTTACCAAAGTATCAAAGCCATGTACCTAAGTTGTTCACCATGAGTCTTTGACAATGAAGGTCATTGTGTAGACGGTGGTCAACTCGGTCAGTTGATGCACCTCCATTTCTCCTACATAATTGGAGAGGTATCATCCAACTATCATAAATATGGCTAGCAACTTCAATTAAATCATTACACGTGTACTATATTCCTTTTTACAAGTCACGTACAAGATTGTGAAATCAACATAAGTCGCATATAAGATCATGAAATCATGCAAACACGTATGCAATCGTATTATTACCTTATTTCCTTCTAGCATAAAAGGTTACAAAATGATTCCTCTTAGGGTAGAGATAACATACATTTTTTTGCGTTACCTCAAACCCCATGAAACAACGAATGTAACGAATCGGTGAGAAGCATACTTGACTCGAATTTTCTTTTGCAAAGAATGCAGAAAAATCAGTTTGGATTTTGGCAGAGGTTCGATATAGGGAAAAAAATCTTATATCAAAACTTGAAGAGTTGGGTGCTATTTATAGAAAATGAAAGTGTGTGTGCGAAGAGAGGCGACTTTTCGGGTCGGTGGTTACACCCCCTACCATTGCAATGGTTTGTTTAAAAAATTAAAATGTGTCAAACATTGTATCAGCTTGACCTAGGGTGATTGGACCGATTGGTTTATTCCAACTGCCAGATTGGATTGGTTAGATTCAACTCGGTTTGCTTCGGGCTGGTTATACAAACCATTCTAACCGATTACCAACATATTTACAAATCGACCGAATTCGAGGCCACACCTTCTCACATCTTACCAATATGATCCTTCAAGAGCTTCTCTTGACGTTTTCTCCCTTTCATTCTCATTCACACCATTCAAAATCCCAACATTGCTTAGCCAAGTGAGATAATGGATTATCTTCATCAAAGATAATTTGCTCACAATAGAGAGATTAGTGTTGGCAAGATGTGGGAATGGGCATGAAGGGTTGTACTTATATATACAATTGCTGTACATCATTAAATATGGATATGCTTCCAATCAGGGGCGGATACATGGACCTATAGGGGTGTCCCGGGACACCCCTAAAATTTGGGAAAACGATTATCCAACTTTCGATAATAATTTCGTATGGGTATACAAAATATAATTAGTGATTCGGGACACCCTAACATTTGAAAAAATGATTATCCTACCCTCGATAATAGTTTGCTTATGATTAACAAAATATAAGTGGTAGTCCGTGTTATTCCAACATAGGACACTACTATTATCAAACATATTCTAATTATGTTGCTACTCATTTTTTATTCTATTTTAAACATCATGCAACAGTAAAACGCTATTTCTTTATCCCCAACTATTTTCAATACCTAATAATTAAACTACGTACACGCTACCCTTAATTTTGAATTGATTTTATGGTTACACGGCAAGTGTTGAGAGAGTCTTTTCTACTTTGAGCTACATTAAGAACAAGTTTAGAAATCGAATATGTGATAAGTTCGTGAAGTATTGTCTAGTAGGATATGTAGATTTTTTTGAACAGTGCAGACACGGAGTTTATTTTATATTATTTTTTCAAAATATGAAACACATCATGAATTTTAATAAAAAAATTTATACACGTATGCTATTTTTAATATATGAATTATTTAATTTATTATTTAATTTAATTTAATTTTTGAAGAGGACACCCCTGTGAAAATTTTCTGAATCCGCCACTACTTCCAATCGATGAACTTTCCCCTCCATTTCATTTTGGGAGTCCCCTATTTCCACACGGCAACCTGAAAGTAATGGGACACTGACTGATGGACGATGAAAGAGGCAAACAAGTCCAGCGATGCATTGAAAAGTTCCGTTCAAAGGCGAGTCCACCACATGTATAAAAACCTAGCTGTTTCTTTCATTGAATTAGGGTTTCAAAGTGTGGCCTATTCAGTGATGTGTCGGTATATATATAGCTAGCATAGCAATCACCAGCAAGAGCCGACGTCAAAAGGGTAACAGTTGAGTTTACCTCTTTCCTTTCCATGGTCGTAATCTATCTAGCTAGGGTTTAGATCATCGATCATCTGTAGCTGTTTTGTTCCGTTCCTTGCATGGTGGAAGAATAATGGTTAGCTAGCTAGGTTGGGGGATTGATTCTCTGTTGAGTTTCTTTCGTATGGTCCATCTAATTATATCTTAATTAGACGGTAAAGCTAAACTAGTTGAAAAAAATAGTTGATCTAAAGTAAGGGTGTTCGTCTAGTTATTATGAACTTCTGTTTGTGTCTAGAATGCAATAGGGTTCTCGATCGTCTGGCCTACTCTAATTTGTTAACGGTGTGTTGCTGATAATATATGCTTGTTTATACCGAAAAGGATATAGAATATACAACAAGTTTGCGCATAATTTATATTTGTGCACTAGATTCATAATTATACTAATTTGTTAATAAGCGGATGGATCAATTTGAAAAGAAAAAAAAACACATTCAATCGGCTCATTGCCCCCTTCCTTACTTTTATGCGAGGGCAGGTTTATATAAATCTT